CTTTGTGAATATAGTACAAACCACTGGGTTGCACTTTAAAAGGGTGAATTTTATGCTATGTGAATTATATCTCAGTAAAGCTGTTACTACAAAAATACAAAAGAAAAAGTTGTTCAGTCCATGGTCTTTTCCTTGAGGGTTTAATCTTTTGTATGAATTTCTCCTAACTTGGTTTGGAGTTTTCTAGTTTGACTTCATGTTGAAAGACTTCTGACAGGGAAGTGCCATTAGGCCACAGCTGGCACATTTGTCCATGTAGCTGCCATGCCAGTGCATGTGTTTGTATTTGGGTCAAAGGACAGCCCAAACAGGACTCCGTGGTGCCACCCTGGATGCCCCTACGCCCCACCTAAATGTTGTTACAGGATCTTCCAGCTTTTGCTTCTTGCCTCTGTGCTGCATCTCCCTACTTGCTATTGCCAGAGAGCTAGAATCCCTTCTGTGCATAGAACCTAACCAGCATTGTTGAGGTAGTGTGGGCTGAGCACGCCTGTGATCCTTTCCTGCCTTGGTTACTTTGTGTACACTGTTCCCGTCTCTGCACAGGTCTGCTGCAGCTCAGCCACCCACCCAAACTCCCACCGAAGGGTCAGAAGGGACTGCCCCAGGTGGGGGGCCCCCTGGCCCTCCCAATACCACCAGTAACAGACGACTACAGCAAACCCAGGCACAAGTGGAGGAGGTAGGTGGAGAGCTTTTTCTTTGAGTTTCCAAATCACAGAAGTTTAGAAACTTCTCTTTGTTATAGAGGGTTGGCTAAATGCTCTGGGAGGCAAGGAATCCCTTAGTGTTACTTAGTTACTTAAAATTGCCACACAATTCCCTGGTCACTGTTCTGTCTCCCACCTCTAGTGGGGAGCTTAGCAGGCTCGTTTCTGCATCCCCTTTAGGTGGTGGACATGATGCGTGTGAATGTGGACAAGGTCCTGAAGAGGGACGAGATACTGTCAGAGCTGGATGACCGAGCTGATGCTTTGCAGGTGGGAGCGTCACAGTTTGAGAGCAGTGCTGCCAAGCTAAAGAGAAAGTATTGGTGGAAAAACTGCAAGGTGAATTTTCTTGCCCTCTCCCCCTTCTTTTCCTGGGTCTCAAGTCTTAGAGGGCAAGAAAACCCTCAGGTTCTACATTCCTTCTCTCTAGTGGTGTAGAATCTCTGCCCTCCAGAACTTGGAGGAAATAGTGAACGCTTCCGTGAGGTGCATTACCAGGAATGGCCACCAGGGTAGGCTAGAGAATTCAGAATGCTCACTGGGAGGCAGTGATGAGTTTGGAGGTGGTTAGTCAAGGTGCTTTTCCCCAAGATCCCTGGAAGAATTCTCACCTGGCCCTTCCTCAGACAAGCACTGAATCAATGGCTGGTATAGATGTAGTTACATATTTGCAGCATTTAGGAATGAGCTGAACACTTCACCACGAAAAATGAACCCATTGATCCAAGGTCCAAATGCTGCACCTCCATTGGAATTTGAGCGATAAAGAGCTACAGGTGCTCTGTTGCTTCTGAGAAGTGTCAGCTGTGGTGCAGGGGTTGCTCTGGTGGGAAGCATGAAGGTTGGGCCCTCCCCGAGAGGCCTGCGGATCTCCTGGGAGACGTGTGGATTCTTTCACGATCCTGAGGATGCAGACGTTCTCTTCCCACGTGTCTAGTCCTGGCTCCTTCTTCCCCAAGTCCAAGGGCCGGCTTTTTGTCATTGTTTCCTCAGATGATGATCATGCTGGGAGCTATCTGTGCCATCGTCGTGGTAGTTATTGTAAGTAAGTATTGCTGAGATCGCTGGTGGGGTGAAGAGGTGGGAAGGTCCTGGCATCCTCTCTGAGCCCTGCCTGCCTGGGCAGCGGGGCTGCTCTGACTGAGGTATGGAGAGCGTGGCGGTGGGGTCATCACCTGGTTTGGGAGGTGGGAAGGGCAAAGACAATGGGCTTCCTTGATAGACAAGCCTTCCTTCTGCAAGGTACTGTGGGAAGAGGGTCCCTGCTGTTCTGGGGAAGTGGGACTGTGCTCTTTGTCACTGGCTTGGGTCAGAGGTAGGCCATGGGGATGGGACACCTACAACTGGAAGACCTAAATGTCTAGTAATGATGTAATTTGCCCTCTTGTTCCCTCCTGTCTCTTTCTTTTCTCCATCTGGGACTTCCTGACTCCTGTGTCCAGTCTACTTTTTTACTTGAGAATGTGCCACTCCCACCCTGTTCTCCATTGCCATCCAAACTCACGTCCTTCTCCCTCTGTGCTTTCTCAACAAAGTGCCCCATGTACCTTCCTCCAGCCCGGCCCCGGCTTCTCCCATCACCCATTCTTCCCTTTCTGTTGCTTTCATTTGCACTGTGTCCCTCAACACCAGAAATGCTGCTTGTGGCACAGTCCTGAAGTCACTACCTGGAGAGCGGCAGTGGCACCTCCTCCTGCCCCCTTCCGATGTACTCTCGTGTTCTCCCAAAACCAGAAAGAGCTAGAGGCCGAGGGGAGGGGAGGAAGGAGCGCAGCTGAGGTGGCATGCCCATGGACACACCAGGGTCAGGGGAGAAGGGTACTGGTACTCGTGGTGTCACCAGGAAAGGCCAGGCTACTGGCAGAAGGCTGGGAACAGCTGGGGAAATGGTGCCCACTCAGGGCTTCCCTGGCCACTTGGAGCTCTTCTCCTGTGCCAGGCCTGAAGAGGACCCTGGGGGAGCCCCAAAGTACAACTTGGTCCTGGTGCAGTACCCTTTTAGAAAGTAAAACCTGTGTTTTGTGGTTGTTTCTAATCTGGCCAAAATTTTCTATGTTTTCAGGGATCTTAACAGTGTCCTGCTTTGTTCTTCAGAGAACACCTATTAATTATGAAAATACCAGAACTCTCATTCCCATTCTAGAAGCAGTCCCACAAGCTCATAACTGGAAAGAGTGTCTCTTGTTCACATTTTCTGCAACATTCTATATTGTTCATGAGAGCACCAAATAATTTTACATTGCAAAAGTTTGGGACTCTCAGTTAGTTTGATTATTGGCATAGATAAGAGAATGCCTGGTACAGGAAAACTGAGTCAGGGGCCTGATTTGAAAATAACAATCTTCGAAGAAGCCACTTCTCACCCTCTGGTTACAGAAGGTCCTGTTCCATTCCTCCCTTCGGTTGCTAAAGGAGCATGAGGTTGTTAGAAGTTAGGGGGTCTTAGAAGTGAACCCCTTGGCTTCCTTTCCTCCACACCCCTTCCACGTACTGGCCAAAGGGGTGAGGCAAGAGGTCTTTCCTGAGGCCCGGCTGATTCTGAGCATTTAGACAAGTCTGGAGACAGGTGTTTTCGTATATTGCTCTGCTGTCACGGAGTCTCTTATTTAGAGCCAGCTCTGTTCTTGATGCAGTAGGTTCCCCTTCCAAACCACCCATGCCCTCCGGAATTCCACTTTACCTCTTTGCCCTTCTTTCCCTTTGTGTGGTTTGTGGATGCCCCATGGTAACTGCTGAGCCTGTCTTGGTAGATACTGCTGGGCTTCAGGATAGGCGGTTGAATGGGATAGACTCAGGTGTGAGGGGAGGAGGGCAGGCTGGGAACGGAAGGTGGAACCCCCATGACCCTTTGGTCCCTCCATCCTCCGATCCACAAGCAGGAAGAGGCTGAAGCCAGGCCAGGCTGGGTCTAGATGCTCTTTCCATGCAGCAGCATTTCATTGTGCAAAACCATCCTCCCTCTCCCTTCGCTCCTGTTTCTCATGTTCCCTTCGTCCTGCCCTGAGGCGGGATTGAAAAGCTGGAAGAAAACAGTCAGTGTACCCTCCCAACGGCCTCCTCGAAGGTCTCCACTCTCCTCTGGGCTCCTCCTTGCCTAATGCAGGGGGTCACCGCTGGAAAGAACCACCACTGTCCTCGATGTGTCCCAAGCTTGAAGCAAATTCGCCTCCTTGGCCCACCAAGCCCTGTCACAGGAATTATTTCCTGGGTTTCTGGCCTTCTGGGGCTCACCAGGTGTAGCTGGCTCTGTTCTTTTGGGGGGTGTTAGCCCTTCTTCCTTTCTCACCCCAACCCCTACCCTCTTCCGTGTCTTTGTTATCCCCCTTCTTCCCACTACCCATGTGCATGAGCAAATGTGCAACTGAACCCCGGGACTTGCAGTCAAATGAAGCCAAGTGTCCCACATCTCCTCCTTGGGTTTGTTTGCCATGAGATGATGTGGGGTTTCCACTGTGTGTCTGTCACCACCTCTCTGTCTGTTTTCCTAACCCCAATCTCATACTTGTGTAGAATAATAACACTTGTACTTCCACCAAAGGCATGTGGCAGATTTACCAATTTCATGTATTCTGAACAAAGGCAAAAAATACAGATTCCTACCACTACACTGACTTGGTTGTTGTTTGGCTGGACTAACTGAGGACTGGGGAACTGGGAGTGTTTCTTCTAGCAGTCTGTCGTTGCTGGGGCCGGAAGCCTGGCTTATGTGTGCTGTATGGTCTCCTCGAGATTAAAGATCTGGGTTTTGGCAGAGGAAGTGGTCTCCGCATTCATACTTGAAGCAGCCCCATTCTAACAGGTGTGGTGAGAGGAAGTGACGGCAGGAAGCTGAGTGGGCGTTTCAGACATCCCGTCACAAACAACTGCAGGTTTGCTCAAACAGCTCCTTTCTCCCTCCTTGCAGGTCCTCAGCCTGCCTGTCCTGTCCCAGGGGTCAGGACCAGATGAGGCCTCTGGTACACACAACCTGCTCCCCATCATCCTCGTGCATGGGTTTTCTTTTGCTAAGTCCACTCTATTGACTAGGCACATTCTAGAAATGAGTAAAAGGAGAACTCTCTCCCTTGCAGCTGGGGGAGTGAGGTGTTTGTAGGTATGTTGAAATTCCCAACATCTGTCTAGAGGAGCAGAGCCTTAGCTGCAGCCCAGTTGTGGAGACAGAGCCTCAGGGCTGCCCCCAAGGGCCTGCGTTTCACACCTGGAACACTGGGCAAGTTGGAGCTTCTAGGCCCAGGGACACGCTTAGTTGGGTCTAGCATGGGGAGAGACAGGAAAGTAGAAAGCTTGACCTCTGAGGACATAGGGGCTTTTATTTGGACAGAGTTCAATATTCGTGCATGGTGGTCCAACTCCGCCTTTGCCCACCATCCCTCACCTGCCCTTTTCATAAATTCTTCCTGTTTTCTTTTCCTGCCACTGCACCTCAAGTCTGACTTGTGTTTTAGCCTCCAGACATTTCCTTTCTGCTGCCACTCTCACCTCCTCATATTGTCTCCCTCGGAGCTCAACCCAGGGTCATGGTGAAGGGAGACAGGCCTGCCCTTCGCCTGAGCCAGAGCCCCCATGATCTGTCCTGGGGCTTTTTGAGCTCCGAGACTTGGTGTAAAGTCCTGGGAACACGTGATCATTCTTTTTTACTCTGAGGCAGGAGAGTAGCTACTTGGAGCACTACAGGGTGTTGGCAGACCTCGGTGAGCCAGCTAGGAGAAAACAAGGGAACAAGGTTGGATTCAGTTGGGGTAACCCCAGAAGCTGGGAGCTGTGGTGGGGCTATTGGCTGGAACTTGGGAACTTGGGTTTCATCCCTGGTCTGGGTGGGGAGGTGGTTAGTTAGGGCAGGCTGATCTACAAGTGGGCTGGGTGGCGCAGAGCTGAGGGTCACCAGGCTCTTACCTTACCGTCTCTGAAGCCCCAGGAACAACAGTGCAAGAAATAAGAGACTGCTGGCGAAAAGGACTCCAAAGGCCATTCTCTGCCCTATAGGGGAGAGCAGAGTGGGCATGGATCATCTCTGGAGCTGCACCCAGGGGTCCGCCCTGGCAGGGCCATGATGCAATGTGATCCATCCCTGGGGGAGGAGCTCATGTCAGTGTTCTGCTCCCTCCCAGGAACTGGGCACAGAGTAGCGTCCACACTTGCTCTAGGTTGTTGGTCTGTTTGTTACTCCACACACAATTCTTTACCTCTTCCTACGCCTGGAGAAGAGTTTCTTAAAATTGCTTTGCAAGAGAGATTTAGGTTAGATTCGTGGTTAACAGTTAAACTGGGATTTTGTTTTTAATTGCTAGGAAATGCTTTGTTAGGTTTACTATTTTGTGAAATCGCAGGGGAATGATAGGAGCTGAGACAAAGCCCTGGTTTGAAGCTTAAAGTCTGGTGAGCCACCAGGTGATGCCCAGTGCTCCTGGATGCTTACACTTTGGGGTGTGGGTGCCTGCCCTGTGCTGTTTAAAACCTTTAACAACATGCTGTGGTTTCAGGATGAAATTCCAGCTTGAAGGCCATTGTGATATGTTCACTGATAGTAGTAGAAGGTTTAAGGCTTCCTGTTTTTCATTTTCTCTCATTATTTACTAGGTAGGTGACTTGGGTGAATTACTTAGCATCTGTAAGTGACAACTTACTCCTCAGTGAGATGGAAGCTGTGATAATACATGTACTTCTCCATCCAGTGCTTAGTATTGTGTTTGATTCATGTAAATGCTCAGTAAATAGATTTACCTCCCAAGCTTCAGAGCCACCTCCCCTTTTCCTAGACTCTTGGCTCTAGGTACGCAGTTACCCCAATTCTCTTCTGGCTGTTTTATAACTTGGCCTTCGCTCATGCTGTTCTTTTGGTCTTGGGTGTCCCCCTCCCCCTGAACTAGCAGCTCAGCTCTCATGTCTCCCTGGGGTCATTTTCCCCGATTGCCTACTCTGTCCCTCCCAAGTGGACTAAGCTCCTTGAAGGCAGGATCAGGAATTAATGCAAGCTGGTGTCCTGCTCTTAGCACATTGCCTGGTACCCTCGAACCTGGGGGGAAAGGATGTCTCGGGATGTGTGGTGGCAGCTGTGGAGGCTGCCTCCTTGGGAAAGAAGTGGGGACTGAACAAAGTGCTGTGGGAAGCAGAACAAGGCCACAGATGAGCTGGAGGTCAGGGAGCCATGAGCCCACGTCCGATGCGGGGAAAGGAAGGCATGCCCAGTACCTGGCAGAGCAACCCGGATGCTGGCCCTGAGGGGCTCCTCCAGGGAGATGTGGGTGACCTGGCAGGTGTAAGAGGCCCCCACAGAGCCAGGTTCTGCCGTCAGGGAGGAGGTGATGCTGTAGGTGCCCATTGTGCTTTGCTGGAGGCTGGAGAAGGAGGCACCGGAGGCTGGGGCTGGGGCTCCACCCAGCTCCTCTCGGATCCATATCACAGTCATGTCCAGGGGATAGTAGCCAGAGACACTGCAGGTGAGGGTGGGTAGCAGAGCTTCGCTGGCCAAGCTCAGTCGTACTTTGGGAGAAGCTGGAAGAGTGAGTACAGAGATTCCAAAGGGATGCAGTGGGACCGCAGAGTTGATACAGCTGCCTCCCGAGAGGAAGCCTAGGCTGGGTGCTGACATATCCTCCTCAGTGTGGCGCCACAGGGGCGTGAGGGGACCACACGGATGCACGCCAGGAGGAGGTACATCCTCCCCAGGTAATTGAAAAAACAATAGTAAAACTAGCTAAAGGTTGGCTTGCTGCTGCTTATGGCAAATAAGCCAGTGATTTTAAGTGTTACCACAGTTGAAATATGCCTCCCAGTCAGGACCCTCCCAGTGCCCCTCCTTGGTTTGCCACCGCCCCTCCCAGGATGTGTCCCGAAGGATTGGGGTGATTGGACACAGCAGCCAAGGCAGGGCAGCAGGATCCTGGGCTGGGAAGCTTCTCCACAGAATCATCCGAGTGTGGCGGGAAGCAGTCCAACCCTGTGGGCGCTTTTAGGGTGGAGTGGCATTTAGGTTGTGGGAATGCAGACTGCCTCTTGGGAAATCGCTTTCTATTTGGAATCCATTCTGGAAAACACTCCCAATAGGCACATCCCTTCCCCCTCCCGCGGATAACCGAGCCGCAGCCTCACCTTGGACGTGGAGCTGGATGATTTGCTGAGCTTGGTACAGAGAGGTGGTGATCTGGCAAATGTAGGTACCCTCGTCCTTCAGAGTGAGGCTGGGTAGGGTGAGGGAGGCATCCCCGGCCATGAGTAGCTGCTCGGGCTCCAGGGCAGCGCTCTCCCACTTGACCTGCCTGTGCCCTGTGGTCCAGCTGTGCACCAGCTTCCCATCACCCTTATGTTGCAGCCGCCACTCCACGCCAGTAAGGGCCAAGCCTGGTGCCATGGAGAAGCGACAGTGCAGGGAGGCCGAGGACCCCAGCAGGAAATTCAGGGATGGGGTCCGTGTTGTCACCTGGAACTCCACTGTGGCGAGAAAAAGTGCGGTGGTGGTGGGCGTCTTCCTCCAAGTCACCTGACCTCTAAGCTGTTGTAGGCATGCATCTGCTCCTGCCTTCTCAGGAGGCCAGTTGAGTTCATTTCCCATCAGATGTAACCACAAAGAAATGGGGCTCTGGAAAGGCAGTGTGGCACACGTGGTAATCTTAACTTTTGTAGTCATTTACCCCAGGACAAGTGATGAAGGCTGTGGACTTCTCAGCAGAAAAATACACATGCCAAATGATGGGTTGCTGTTGACCTTCAGATAAGAACTACTGGAGTAGCAGAGAAAGCTTTGGAACCCTGGTTCTTCCACTTACTAGCCCTGTGACTGTGGGCAAGCCCTTAGTGTGGCCAACACGTCTGCTTGAGGCAAGGCTGCTGGGAAGGCTGACTAAGTATGAGCTTAGAAAGCACACAGTGGTAGTATTTGTAGCAAACATGCCAAACCTATATCTAATCAGACAAATCCAAGTGGTGGGGTACTCTGCAAGACAGCAGGCCTGAAGTCTCTGGAAATGTCAATGCTGTGAAAAATCGTTCTGGAGTAAAGAGGCTAAAGGCACAAGACAGCAACATGAAATGTATGGTCTTGTATGATTCCTGGGCTTAAAAAGACAAAACAAAACAAAACAAGAAAGCTATAAAAAGCATTATTGGGGCAGTTAGAGAAGTTTGCATTTGGCCATTATATTTGACAGTGTTGTATCAATTTTGACACGTCTTAGGATGTCTAGTAGCTACCAAGCTGTGGTGTGTGAGATGGGGACAGATTACCCTGGCAGGGAGGGGTATTTTACCATTGATACTGTTCAGGATTGCTAATGTACAGTAATGGTGAGAAGATATTCTTTAATCTTTACACACTGCACCCCATTATTGCCTGCACCACAATAGGCCACTCTCCACTTTGGTTTGCTGTTAAGATGATAGTTTTATGGTTATGAAGGACAATATTCTTCATGCTATATATACATGGAAGCATTTGGGGTGAAGTGTTACCTGCAGCTTCCTTTCACTTAGTCTAGGGAGGAATCTATATATATCTATATATCTAGAGAAAGACATGTTTATCTGCAGGTAAGACTACAGTATTAACAATTGGTGAATCTAGGTGAATGGTGTACAGATATTCATTACATTATTTAATCTTTTTTGTAGGTCTAAAATATCTCAAAATAAAAAGGGGGGCCTACCTAGCAATGCCAGGGCTATGGTTGACACTGGATGGATATGAGAACCCCTTTTCTGATGTAGCAGTCTAAGTTTAGGTTGGACCACAGCTTCAAGTGTTCTGGGGCCTTCTCAGGATAGGAAGGCAGACCCATAATCTCTGGATGTGGTCATCTCTTTTTGGAGGCAAACTTGGATTTGAAAGGCTCTGGAGAAACCTATCATCATGTTCTCAATTTCCCATGCCCTCTGGGATGTGCTGGGTCGGAGAGGGCAACGGCTGGGCTTTACTAAGGAGATAATGAGCAAAATCTGTGTCCCTGTGCTCTGCTCTGGTCATCTTGAAGCACCAGACCAGGCTGGCTGTTCACCGGGAGTAAACTGGTGTTTGGCCCCGTAAGACTGCTGTGGATGGCATCTGTGAACAGAGCATCGTTTATCTCATTTCCTCAGGCAGCCCAGTGAGGTGAACATTATCCCCATTTGGGGTGTTCAGGAAGAAAGGACAGGCCTAGGAGAGTCCCTGAGGTGACTTATGTGGATGGAGGTAGACTTGTTCCCTTTTGTTCTCCATCTCTGACCACTTGAAAAAACCAAACTTCCTTTCTGCAACTTACATTTTCTCACCTGCAGTCTGAATAGTCCCCTGAGCCCTGCAGGTACAGTGTGGGGTGCAAGACAGCCCCATTCTCAGTGTCCCCCAGAGTCTTCATCACCACAGAGACACTAGGCCCCCCTCCAGACAGCTGCACGTTGGCGATGAATGAAGCTGCTGTGTCAACAGGGGCCCCTTGTCTGGCCTGGAGAAAATAGCAGGAGATCTCGCAGGTCACCTTCTTCCCGCTGCAGTGGGCATGGAGCAAGGCCTCGGCCTGGGGAATCTGTACCAGGCTGGCTGGGGAGAAGGGCAGCACAGAGGTCAGGCTGGATGGAGAACACCTGGGCCCATGGGGGGCAGGGGATGGTGGGTGTACTCAGGAGCACACTGTTCCGGCAGAGGATCCCAGAAGGGCTGGGACACTGGGTGGAGGGCTCTTACCTGAGGCCTCGAAGGTAACAGGTGGGTTGTCTTTGGTGTGTGTGTCCCCTTGGAAATCAGCAAAGCCTTCCAGGGAGCCATCATCTGTCACTGGCACCTGCCTCAGCACGAGTAAGGCCTTCACCATGTTCCTACTGCTGGCAAGGACCCCACCTTCCTCACCAAGAAGCAGTCTAAGACCACATCCACTGCCCACCACTGCCTTTCTGCTGCAGGGAGAAGGCCAGGTGAGCCTCCTGTCTAGTTATTTCTGTATTCACAACCACCTCTTACCCCAAACTGAGTCATAAAAGGGTGAAAATTGTCATCTAGGGTCCTAGCTTTGTCTGTGTTCCTTCTGTCATCCCCACAACCAACTTTCTTCGAAGCACCTGCTACTCCAGGTACCTGCTTCTTGGTGTGTGTTATTTAAAATCCTGGATTTTCCTTGCTCAGAAGGGTTTATGGTTTTACTCTTATTTACAACTATTGAATGGAAGACCTTTTTCAGTCAAAGGACTTCTCAGCAAAAGCAAACAAATGAGCAAAATTGTCTCTGGGAGAAGACACCGGACATCGTGTTACTAGGGGCTTGGTGGTGGTTGCTCAGTTTCTGGCCAGCCCACGTGCTCTGCTCTCTGCCATTCAGTACAAGGGCGTCCCTTCCCCCTCCTCAGGGGACACCCCGACACCCCAGTGGCTTCCGGGGATACCCTTCCTCTCGGGAAGGTGTCTGCTCCCCAGCAGTGCCCGCTGCAGGGGGACAGCGGCCCCCCACCACATCCGCTGAGGGGTCCCTCTTTTGTTTGGCCTTTTTCCACCAGAACGCTCAGCCTCTCTCACAACACAGTGGGTTCCTTACACAGCCAGCACTGAGCCTTTTTCCTGTTGGGCTTGGGAGGTGATTGGAAGTCACGCCGGCCCCCGTCGCCTTCTGGAGTCCAGGGGAAGGTGGCGCCTGTGCTTCCCGGCACTCCCCTGCCGGCCTCCCGCTCACCTGCGTCCGCCGCTCTCGTCAGCGCCCAGCAGAGCAGCAGGCACCACCCCGCCACGGCGCCCATGGGGGCTGCTCTCCGGCCTCCTCGCCCTCAGCCCTTCTCCGCTGCTTGCACACTGCGACGCTGGAGGAGAAAGGGCTCTCCAAGCCCCTTATTGGCCGCTACCTGTCGCCTTCTTTTCCGTCTTCCGCCTACTTACCTTTCGCTTTCACTTTGAAGAGGCGTCACCGAGGCTGCCTTTGCCCCTGGGAAGCCGTTTGCGGCTGGTGCCGGAGTTCTGCTCACTCTTTCTCCTCACCGCCCCGCTCCCCAAAGCCTGGGCCCTTTGGAGACCTGACCCTTCAGCCCCTTCCCAGCCCCGAGCAAGTGGAGCTGGACGGGCGGGAAAGGAGGTGGGGTTGGAGGGGAGACTGAAGCCAGAAGCAGGGTTCCCGGTAGTCTGGGGACATTTCTTCCTTTTCTGTTGGTGCCACACCCACCGGCACCCCCCAACCCCCGCCGACACACACTTCGGGTGGGCCCCAACACAAATCTGCAGTGGGGAAACGAGGCGGGGAGCGGTCCGCGTTGTGAGATTGGAATTGCGGAGACCGGAGAGCCGCAGCCTGTCGCTTTATTTCACCGTGTCTGCAGGTCAGGGTACAGCGCGCGGGGCTCTCCTAGGGTGGGCGGAAGGGTGCTTTCCGCCTCAGCTCCGCCCCTCGCGGGTGAGGCAGGCTGTGCGGGACACTCCCAGGCTTCGGCTTCCCACGCCCACTTCGTTCCCATGTGTCCTCGTCACCATCAGTATTGAAAAGGCACTTTCTCAAGTCTGCACACAGGTCCTGAGAGGACGGTACTGAAACTGGGGGTGCCCGGTGGGGTGGGGTGGAGGCTGGGACTTTACTGCAGTGACGACCCCCTCCGGGGAGCGCTGGCTCAGGGGTAGGAAGCAGGGTCTGGTTTTCGGTAAGCCTCCTGAATGGGGATGGCGCTGCCCTCTTCCTCCCTGGGGTGGCTGTACGAACAAGGCTCTGCGGGCGCCACTAGGCTCTCTTCTTCATCTGCAGAAGGAATCAGATGAGTTGGCGAGCACTGGGGGGCGGGGTGAAGGAGGAGAGATGAGCAAGGGGGGAAGGCTGGGGGCAGGGCTGTCAGGGGCGGCGCTGAGAGCGGAGGAAGAAGGGGGGCACCGGGTGGTAAAGGTGGAGCTAGGGAGCTTCCAGAAGGTTCCAGGCATGGGTAGCAGGGCTGCGATGGTGGGGCAGGGTGCACGGGCAGGACTGGAGCCCTGTATCTTTGTCTCTTACTTAGTCCGTATCTTCTTTGCTGATGGAGGAACACCACTCCGACAATGGTGAAAGCAAGAAACATTCCCGCGAGGACCACAAAGATGCGGATGCAGTCTGGGCTGCACAGGGACCTTTCGGCTGTGACGGGCAGGGGCCACACCGCGGGTTTGGGGAAGGGCCTAGTGCTTGACTCCCCGTATTCCAGGCCTCCTGTTGTCCTGCCTCTCTCCTCTCCCCGACTCCACCCAGCCGGTGAACAAGTCCCCTCCTAATTCCCACACTCTGCTGCTGCTCCCTTTTCTCACCCCTAGTCCCAGGACCTTTCTGGGCATTCTCTCTGCAGTTGGGAAGTGGGGACAAAACTCACGTGGCCATGAGGTGGAGAGAGCTGGGGCAGGCAGCTGCCTGAAGTCAGCCAGAGTCTGAAAGTGCTGGGTTGTCCTGGCCTCTATTACCTCTGGCAAAACACACAGAGTGAGCATCAGCAGGGATCCCGCAGCAACTAAGGCTGGGCTGGAGGCCTAAGAGGTGCTGGGTGAGATGGGAAGGCAGACAGGCTGGCCAGGCAGCTCATGTGGGATGGGTACCACGTGTAGGGTGCTGGTTGGGGTGTGACCCTTACTGCTGTGGCAGGACAGAGGGTTGCCTGGAACTTACTTTTGGCATAAGGTAAGTGGCTGGGTTGTGGGGGAGAGCCCAGGGTTGGAGATGGATGCTGGCTCAGCGCGGCGTTGGGAGGAGGGTCACATTCCGTGCACTCCTTGTCCCTGCACTGCCAGTCCTCGGAGCAAGCACACTCGGCATTGGCAGTGAGGGTGCAGTTTCGAATGAGAAGACCTGGGGACAGAGGAGGGCCACACAGGACCCTCAGGCCTCAGAGGCCTGGAAGGCCCACTTGCTTAGTCCTCCCCGCCAGGCCCCACCTCAGACCCACCTCCAGGGACATGCTGCCCTCTGTGTCCTCCCCACCCCCACCGGAAACTTGACCCTGTCACTGTCACCCACTGCCTTTGCCATTATTGCTGTTGTCATTACAGAAAAAACTTGGACCTTTTGGAAAACTCATGATTCAGAAATAGGAACACTGAAAAGTAGAAACAGCTTACGAGATTTTCTGTCTTACTGATACCTTTATAACTTGTAACTGAAGCATAGCATACTTAGAGGTGCACATGCCATAAATATAATGCATGAGAACTGGTACCAATTGAGTTCATAGGAGTAAGCAGCACCAGATCAAGAAACAAGATGACCAGCAGTGTCATCTAACACCCCCAAGAATAGCGACTAGGTTGACTTTTACTGGTGCCAGTCGTTTTGCACCACATGTATAGACTCGTGTGTGCTCATCTGTCCAGCTGCTTTTGCTCAGTCTCTGTGAGAGTCCTCTGTATTGCTGCCTGCGACCACAGTCTGTGCTCATGCTGTGTAGTATTCCACCGTATGAATGGGCCATGACTGGTCCATCCCTTCTGATGTTAACAGGCATTTGGATAGTTTCCAGTTTTTAGCAATCAGAAATCGTGTTGCAGTGGTTTCTGGTAGGTTTTTCCACTCTACTAGAATTGCTTGATTACTGACCTACTTTGCCTTTAAAGTATACATTTTATTCAAGTATAGAGGTCAGGTGCTGGGTGGCTGCTGATTAGTTATACTGGGGGAGGTGGGTGTGAAGGTCCCTGGGCTGAGTTGGACCCTCAGGTGGTTGGGGTTGAGAAGAGGAAGGTGATTCTGGGGAAGGCAGCAGCACCGAGATGTGGGCCAGGATTGAGCGGGAGCCTGGTGGTGCCTTAGAGCAACTCACTAGGGCCCCAGTGAGAGGAGCCCTGGCAGGTGGGAGGAGGTGCAGGATCCAAGGTAGGGAGCCACAGACAACAATCAATGCGAACAGTTTCCTTCCGTCTGGAAAGGGAGAGGGACACAAGATCCTCCTTGCCATCCTATGCCCCTAGGGCTTCTTCTTCCTGAATTCCAACTCAAAGTTGTTACTAGAAGCTTGTTTCCTTGTGGCTCACCAAGAAACGTGAGCCAGCCTGGCCAGGATCCCCAAGAGGGAACAGTGCTGGCAGAGAGGGCAAGAGGTGGGCAAAGGTGAAGGAGGCTGAGGAGGGGGTGGTCCGGGGGTGTCTGCCCAAAGGGAAGGTAAAGGTTAAGGAGGGGCTGGGATTGGTAAGGAATGGAGGCAGTGACGTTCTCAGTGATGAGCACCCAGAGACCTGGGTGTTCCATTCCCCACGTGTGGCCTGTAGTTTCAGACACTTCACCATCCTACAGACGGGAATATTGAGGTCAGAGAGGGCTAAACTCATTCAGTCTCCTCTGACCCCCTCACACGTGGCCACACTCCTCCAGAGTCCTGCAGCCAGCTGTTGCCTGAGTATTTTGGGCATCTGTGGATCCCATGGGGAAGGCACATGGTTCGGCTCTGGAACACGGCACAGGGAGCACAGACTGCCTGGCATTTGGGAAAAGGCCTGGGGGTGGAGTTGCAAGGTGTGGGAAGGCTTGGACTAAGAAAATCCCAGCCCTGCTGGGGTTTCTACCTCAAAGAGGAAAGCATCCATTAACAATTGCATTTTTAAGTTCAGTGGACTGAGAGTACTTCTCTCGCATTCAAGATGTTGCCATTGGGCTGATTTGCAATGGCAGGACCTTTTATTTATTTTAAAGAATACAGTCCTAAGAGGCCTAGTGAGACTGACTGCATTTTACAGGTCAGTAGTGTAGTGGTTCAGTGAAGTGGTCCTCTAGAGTGTCTTGCTGGAGACCATTTGTTCAAAGGGGCCACTTTAAAGCCTGATACTCGTATCTATACTGGTACATAGTTTCTGAACTTCTAGCTAAAATGGAGAAACAACCAAAGAATTCCTAACAGCTGCAGATAATACACTTCTTAATTTTAAAAAAGCAGAAATTACAAAGTAAATAAGAAAAACACAGGCCACATATATATATATATTCATTTCCCTAAACTGGCTTTTACCCACTGGCTGGTAGTGTTATTTCCTTAGAAAGATGTATTCCAAGTTCCAAACGAATGTGCACCTCAGACATAGCCAGCTCATCAGTGGGGGGCTGCTCTGCTGAAATCTGGGGTCCTAGAGGCTGTTCTCCCTCTTTACTGCCTTGCTCCAGCCATAGACCCATTTTCTGCAGTCCCCCAAATTCTGCTTACTTCTTCCCTGCAACACTAGACCTCTCTGCCTGTCATTGTGTGCCTACTCAGGGCGCCCCACTTCCTTGCCAGCTTTGGCTCCACTTGGTGTAGCCCTGAAGTCCCAACTCCCCTCCTCTCTGCTTCTCCAGTCCCAGCCCTGCCCAAGCCTCGCTCCCCCAAATGCCTCCCCGCCTGGCTCACCGGAGTTGCAGTGCCGACAGCTCTCGCAGTGGCGCCGGTGGTGGTGGTCTGGTGCGAAGGAGGTCCCGGAGACACATGGGTTACAGTGGGTGGCCTTTCCATGCTGGTCACAGTCCTTCACGAGGAATGTTCCTGTCAGTAGAGGGCCAGGGTCAAGGCCCGCGGGAGGCCGCTTCTCTGCCCCCTTCAAGGTGGTGCCCGTGGGGGGCTGGATTCCTCTTCTTGCTCAAGCTCAGCCTTGCTCTCTGCTTTCCCTTCACCCCAAACAGCCCCCTCTTCCCCACATCTCTTACCTGGCTCACACATCTGACAGCACAGTTGTCCCCCAGCCCAGTAGTGCTTCTCTGGACAGCTCTTGGAGGTTGGGGTAGCTGAGAGCCCCGCCAGGGTCCCCAGCACCCACAGCCAGCAAGGAGGTGGCCGGGCCATGGCTCCTGCCCAGGATGCTTTTTCTGTGCCGTGGCTGTGCAGCGCTGGCCTCTGGGGTGGGTAGCTCCCAGCTGGGTGCTGGTGCCTCTTGCACCTCCTGGGTGGTAGCTGCAGGTCTGCTCTGAGTTGCCTGGCTTCAGGTGGCAAGCCAACCTTTGATGGCAGTTGAAGCTCTATTGTGGCTGTTTTTCTCTCACAGCGGCACCCTCCTCCCCCTTTTCCGTGTGCTGGGTGCTGGGGAGTGTGTTAAAGGTCAAAGTGTGAGAAGAAGACCTGCTGCTCTTCAAAGATGCGCTAACATACCAGCCTCTCCTTGGCTTCTGCCTGTCTCTCTCTCGTGCTTATGCTCGTGAAGAACATAAGATGTTGGGTGTGCAGTCGCCCCTCTTCCTGTTCACTCACTTGTACACAAAGGTGCGCCTGTTACCCTTCTGGTCACAGCTCACAAGCTAATAAGCACTTGAGAGAAGGAAGGGGACCCAGAACTGAGTACAGGTCCACATGCTTGGGGTCAGATAAGTTTTCAAATTAAGGGTTTCACAGATTTGGGGGAGAAACTAACTCAGAGCCCCCCTCACAGGACTGAGGTAGCCCTCACAATCCCGCACAACATCTCTGCATTCAGAATGATTGACTATTTCAACCAAGTGGGGCGAATAATGACTGACTGCCCTTGCATTCATTGGTGCCTGGTTTTATGGCCAGCGGTGTGCTATGGAATTGCTCAGAATTGCAAACAAGAGATGGAAACCTGTCGAAACATGACATGTGGCCCTGTTTGGTCTTTCTGCCAGCCTGGGATACGGGATCACCACTGCCATCTGGCCAGCCTCCCTCCTCTCCTGTCATCCTCCCCTTCCTGTCTGGAGCACCTGGGCCATCTCCTCCCCCAGCCTCGGGCACTTCGGATCCGGTTCCAGGGCTCATCTTCCCTATTTCTGTGATTCTCCTGGGAAGACTACTTTGGGGATGTTGGAAATAGCTGGATTTTTCCCTCTTTGACCCCTGGGAATGCATGGGTCGGAGCCTCCCCTCCTCTTTCTCCAAGGCCTGAGGTATGGGGTGGCTTATTTCTCCAGGCCATTTTTCATTCAGGGACTTTGCAGTTGTTTCCACACTGCTGGTAAAATGTCACACTCCTGTGATCTCACCTGTTAGATCTGTTCTCTATCTCACTCTGGTTTCCTTTGTCTTCATTGTTTCCATACCCTCCTGCCTGTCCCCAACCCCCTCTGCTCTTCGGGAGGGTCCTCTGAGGGGGAAGTTGCCCAGGGGTGTGAGCTGAAGAGCCGCTGAGGCCCGCCCTTCCTTTCACGCTGGGGCCCAAGGATGCTGCTGTCACTGGCAGTCCTTCCCCTTCTCAGGTTAAGGGCAGTGTCTTCACTGTTAGTCATAAGCCTCGGTGGGGCCTGTGGGATGGGTGAGACCCTAGAGGAATGGTGACGATTGGGGACCTGCAGGGAGGGACCTGCCAAAGGGGAGCAGGGGGGCTGAGGGGACCGCCAGCCTGGCCGGCCCAGGGCTACTCATCCATGCGAGGCCTACATTCTCTCAGCCAGGTCCCGAGGCAGTGGGGGCTGCCTGGCTCTCATGGAGTGCCCCTGGCCAGAGCAGGAAAGCCTGGCTTCCGGACCTTTCTTCTGGGCAAATGGAATGACCACCTCTTCTGCCTTCTGTGCTGTTTGCATGGACTTCTGTGAGCCTTGGCCTCTCCTCAGCTGGCTCCCTAGTCCCCTCCTCTTGTCTACAGGCCCTGCAAGGCCCACCTGCTGACCTCTCCCTCCGATCTTCTACCACCGCCTTCTCTTTTGGGGTTCAGCCTCTCCCCACACCTGGCTGGCAAAGAGATATGGTCTTTTCTAAACAACTCCCTCCCTTTTCTCCCATCTCTAGAGCCAGGCCCACAGAAGCCCTTCTCTTTTGATGACTTCCATTACGTCAGAGAGGGCCTGACCAGCCCCTCAATCTGGAGCAGTGACTGTAGCCTGTGTGTCAGCTGGGGTCACCCTGCTCCTCAATATCTAGATCAGGTGCCCCTTGCTTTCCCATCAGGGCAGAGCCTGGGCCGAGTGGGGAGGGCGTGGCGCTGTGGGCTGGTAGGATTCCAGGTGTCAGGTGTGACGGTCACCTCTTGCTCTGCTTCCTTGTCCACCTGGAGTCTTCTGCTTTCCTCTTTGCTCTGGTGTCTCCTTACCTCTGCCCTGCCCCGGGCTCCACGTTTGGGACACAGGGCTTTCTTGAATTTTCCTCCAAACCAACTGCTACCAGAAGAGTGTTATGCATGGCAAAACTTCTACTGAAGCTTATATAGCATAAAGATGTAATTTAAAATCTCATTTTGGATATTCTTGTTCTTCCTGGTCTTTCCCACCCCAGAGATTTGTTAGTGTGGCTACCCTGCAAAGCAGAAGGGCACTGACCATCCTGCCGACTCCTCTCTCCCTTCCTGCCTCCTTTTTCCACGGCACGCTGCCTTTTAGAAATCTTCTGTCAGGCAGCATACCTCCTCTCTCTTTAGCCCCTAATCCAAAAATCAGTTGTGACCTTTTATAAATCTATACACAGAGTACTCAGAGGAATTAAAGTCTTTCAAGACATTTACCTAGAAGAACGTTCTGTTATATTACATTGCTGTCAGAAACCACAGCTCCTGATCCTTATCAACCAAACCCCTTGGTTTTTCCAGCCTTCTTCGTGCCCTCCTCCACTCCTACTTTCTTTGATGCCCCGCACCCCACCATATCCTCCTGCCTTAGATCCCCCTTCCCAGCCAGTTTTTGAGAGACAACTGGGCAGGACAGTGGGGTGACCTGGTCAGTGAGGGTCTGTGTGCTCACATCCCAGTTCTATAATTTGCATTCCTGGGATTCCTCAGTCTGGGTCTCATGGGGGACTGACCAACTGTGGACATTTCTTCCAACCTCTGACCACATTTCAGTACCTCAGCCCCAAATCCTAGTGTCTCCTAGCACGCAGGCACTCATGAACTATTTGATGGTCTAGCCTCAGCCTTGCCCATGACAGTTCTATCCACAGTATCAGGTTGAAACTTCAGGGGGCCCAAGGGCGCATTCACCTCCTAAACTCCACGCCTCATGCATTTGACAAGTTTTTGTTGCATGTCCATCCTGTGCCAGGTACCAGCTAAGGGACAGGCCACAAGGGTGAGAAATAACATGTGGTTTCTGCCCTCATGGAGTTGACACACCAGCGAGAGAGTCAGACATTGGTCAGATAATCTCAAAGGCAAATATGGAGTTATTAGTAATGGTCATTACTGCAGTACCATGAGAGGACAGTCGGGGCGCCTGTCCCCTAATGGGGGATTTGAGAGTTGGGGCCTCAACTAGGAAGCATAGTTGAATGGAGGTAAGTGAGATCTGACTGCTCTCCACTTTCTTGAGAATTGTTTCTTTGCTTTGGGTTTCTCGACCCCTACCCTAGTCTTCCTTTGATCACTTCTCTTACTTGATCAGTGGTTGTTTTTCTTATAAACAGATGATATGAAATAGGGATGATCTGTTGCTTGAAGGCAGAATTTGTAAATTGGTAGAATTTACATGTGTGCATGCGTATTTTGAAAAATTTTCACTACTGATTTAATTCAGGTTTTCCATTTCTTCTAGTGTCAGTTTTGGTAGGTTATAGTTTTCTGGGAGATTGTCTGTTTAATCTGTTTCAGATTTATGGGCAGAATTGTTTAAATCGCCAGTAGATCGGTAATTATTTTTCCCTTTTTCACTCCTGATATTGTTCATTTATAGTTTCCTCATTTTTTCTTGATACACTTTGCCAGAAATATGTCTAACTTATTAATTGCTTCAAAGAACCACTTTTGATTTTATTGTTTTCTGTATTATTCTTTGCTTTCTGTTCCATTTTACACTCTGATCTAATTTTAAAATTATTTCCTTCCTTTAATTTTCCTGGAGTTTATTGTGCTATTCTTCTGACTTCTGGATTATTTGATTCATTGATTTAACTTTTTCTTTTCTGATATCTGCATTTAAGGCTATAGACTTCCCTCTAAGAGCTATTTAGCCACATCTCTTAAGTTTCGCTGTATTGTGTTTTCATTATTGTTTGTTATTTTTTGCCATTATTATTTATTTTGACATATTTATTCATAAGTACATTTTAAAACTTCCAGACAAATGAAGTCTACATTTTTTTCCTTTTTTAAAAATTAATTTTGGCTTTATTTTATTGTGGTCAGAGAATGTCATCTGTACGTGTAATATGGTAGGCAGAATATCGCCCCCCCCCCCAGTGCTGTCTCCATCCCAGGAACTGAACAGGTTCTGTTACATGGCAAAGGGGAATTAAAGTTGCAGACAGAATCAAGGTTGCTGATCTGCCGACCTTGACGTAGGAGATTACCCTGCATTATGGAGGTAGATCCATTGTAATAGAAGGCTCCTGTGAGTGGAAGAGATGCAGAGAGAGAACCGGAGAGACACTCCTGTGAGTGGAAGAAATTCAGAGAGAGAACTGGAGAGACGCTCCTGTGAGTGGAAGAGATGCAGAGAGAGAACTGGAGAGACGGCAGCACGAGAATTCAGCATGATGCTGACTTTGAAGATGGAGGAAGAGGTCCATGAGCCATGGACTGGGGGAGGCCTCCAGAAGCTAGAATGAGCAGGGAAACTGATTGTCCCCCGGCACTTCCAGGAAGAAACGCAGCCTGCCAACACTTGCATTTAGCCTAGCGAAACCCATGCCAAATCTGACCCATGGAACTCTGACAGTAAATTTGGGTTCTTGACAGCCACTTAGTTTGTGACCATTGGTTATAGCAACCATAGAAAACTAGTACATACAGATCCCCTGGCCTGTGTTTGAGATTTACTCTGTGGCCTAGAGTGTAACTGTAAATGTTCCATATGTGCTTGAAAAAAATGTGTACTTGTAAACCAAACTTTTTTGATTTTGTATTTCATTGAGAAAATGATTTTGAGTATGCATCCTCAAATATACACAATATTTGAAATAAATTGTGTTCATAGATTATATATTCAAGTATAAATTCTATGTAAGTATATGTAGACATTAAAAAGGATGAGATAAATTTACATTGTTACATATAAAAATATGAAAAGGATGAGGTAAAGTTGGGGAAAATGATAGTTAAAGATGTTATTTTTATTTAAAAGATCTTTTTACTCTGACAAGAATAAAAGTTAACATTTTATATAGTATAACAGTATATTAATAATATGTCTAATAGCAGCAATGTGATTTAATGTGTTTCGTTACTGAAAAATCTTGCTTCAATTCTTTGTTTATAGTGACTAGTAGGTCTGGGTCTAAGTTCAGTTATTTGGTTTTAATGACTGAGATGAAAAAGTGCTCTAGGTCAAATGATTTCAGCTGTGTTTTCTAGTTATGATTTGTGAGTCCATCTTCAGCAAGGCTTTTCCTGATGGAATACTTGATGGCCTAGGTGGAGGGCATGTCCCTTCAAAGTGGCTTGGTAGTTAATTTTATCAGAACTTCTAGCATTATTACTGGCCTGAGACCACTTTCTGTGTTATTTTCTTGGGGACAAAGGAGGTTTCCCAATCATGATAATATAAATTGGGACCCTAAACGTGGGTGAGCCCAAACTTACAGTTACAAATTTTCAATATAACTTTTTCTCCACCCAGAAGGCAGTCAGAGACAAGCTTTTTTACTGAGACTCTGTGATGGTGAGTGGATTTTTCTAGATTTCCCTTAAATGCTTTAAGCTGTAGGTGGAAGGCCGTCTTTCCCAATTCCCAGTTCAGGTGGGAGCAAGGTCTCCTCCCCTGGGCCCTTGTGGGTATTAAAACCTCAGCCCCTAGTTGATCAGAGCCCCTCCTCAGCTGCTCATGCAGAAAATTGAGCAATTTCTAGCTCTGCCTGCTTCCCTGGCACCTGAAATTTCCCTTCCCTGGCACCAGGAAACTTCAAATTTCCCTGGAATTGTCAACAGCTTAACTCACCATGTAAAAGAATGTTATTAGCAACTTTGCAATGTAATTGCAAAGTTGGAAGTCCCATTTTCTCAGGATACTCTCCTAATTTTCTGTAATATATGGTTTAAAGAATTAATGTTGGATAATCCAATTAAAAAATGGGCACAGGATCTGAACAGACAGTTCTCCAAAGAAGAAATTCAGATGGCCAGCAGACACATGAAAAGATGCTCCACATCACTAATTATCAGGGAAATGCAAATTAAAACCACAATGAGTTATCACCTCACACCAGTTAGGATGGCCAGCACCCAAAAGACAAGGAACAGCAAATGCTGGTGAGGATATGGAGAAAGGGGAACCCTCTTACACTGCTGGTGGGAATGTAAATTAGTTCAACCATGTGGAAAGCAATATGGAGGTTCCTCAAAAAACTCAAAATAGAAATACCATTTGACTCAGGAATTCCACTTCCAGGAATTTACCCAAAGGAAACAAGATCTCAGATTCAAAAAGACAGATACACCCCTATGCTTATAGCAGCACTATTTACAATAGCCAAGAAATGGAAGCAACCTAAGTGTCCATCAGTAGATGAATGGAAAGAGAAGATGTGTTACATATACGCAATGGAATATTATTCAGCCATAAGAAGAAAACAAATCTACCATTTGCAATAACATGGATGGAGCTAGAGGGTATTATGCTCAGCAAAATAAGCCAGGTGGAAAAAGACAACTATCAAATCATTTCACTCATATGTGGACTATAAGAACAAATTAAAAAACTGAAAGAACGAAACAGCAGCAGAATCACAGAACTCAAAACTGGACTAACAGTTACCAAAGGGAAAGGGACTGGGGAGGATGGGTGGGAAGGGAGGGATAAGGGGGAAAAACAGGGGCAATACTATTAGCAGACATAATGTAGTGGGGGGGGACATGGGGAGGGCTGTACAACACAGAGAAGACAAGTAGTGATTCTATAGCATCTTACTATGCTGATGGACAGTGACTGTAATGGGGTATGTGAGGGGGACTTGATGATGGGGGGGTCTAGTAAACATAATGTTGCTCATGTAATTGTAGATTAATGATACCAAAAAAAAAGAATTAATGTTGGTTTAAGGTAAAGCTAATTTCTGAAATCAGATATTTTGTAAACTGACATGTGTAGGGTTTGAGTGGTAATACTGGGTTTTTCTGGTTGTTGGTCATGTAGCCAGTGAAGGGCAAAACTAGTAAAGGGAAATTCTCATGGACACCAGGGCAATGGAGGAACAAGGAGGGTCCTGGGTCCCAAACCCACAGAGGCAGGAGGAGCCCGTGTAGGTGAAGAGAGTGTGGCTTCAGAATCACATAGATTAGTGGTCCAAAAGCATCTCTGCCAGTTAGTAGCTGGACCACCTTGGGCAAGTCCCAGAAGCTCTCTGAATTGAGTCAGCATCTATTTGGGGGTGGTGTCACTATGCAGCATGTCGGGGAATTAAGTGTAGTAGTATAAATGAAATGCCTTGCCTCGTTTGGGTACTCAATAAATGTTCATTCCTTTCCTCCTTTTCTTGATGTTTGAGTCCCAAGCAATGGGGCTGAAGGAACAGCTGGTTAACCTGGGAACTAAATTATAAAGGAGCATGAGGAGACAGAACAACTTACTAAACTGAACAAGCTGTGCACATGCAATACATCTGCTCCATGTATTAGTCCCACGTACAGGTTCTTCGTAGTGTAGCCAAGCGGTTTTGTAGGGGCTGGGGGATGGTTCCCCTCACAGTGGGCTCCCGGGCCCTGGCATTTTCTATTTGCTTTGTTCCTGAGCAACTCCTCTTGCCAGCTCACATGAGTGAAGACTAGACTCACAACCAATCTAGGGATCTCTGTGGGGGGAGGCAACTCTGTGATTTCTCCCATTGTCCACCAAGTCTAATGCACTGCTGTAACCCATGAGTAACTCCCATGAGTAATTTGCCTTCATTTCCCCTCCTGGCCTATGCGGGTGTCATCTGAGCCCTCCTTTGTGGGGCCCGTTCTCTTTCCAGTGGCGTGCTGGAGCCAGCTAGACCATCTAGGCAAAGTCTGACTGTTAAATTGTCAGGACTCTAGGGATCTGGTTGCACATTGGTAGCTTGAAGTTGGCGATGGTGGGAATACCTACAACCACGTAAATCAGCAAATGCCACAGAGGCAAGTTCCCCACTCCAGAGAACTGGCTGTTACACATGTGCCACCACATCTATTCTATGGGCTCACTAGGCCTGCACCCAGTAATTTTCTTCTGTCTTTTTTGGATCCGGAAGAAGTAGAGTTCTTTCCTCTCTGGGCCTCCAGCCTTTCCTTCTGGCTTCTAGGCCGAACTACTCATGGTGAACTCCTGTCTTACTACTCCAGCCAGCTTAGGATCCCAAACTAGTAGGGCTGGCTGGCTGGTTTCTGATCCTGGGGGTCTGTGTCCTCATTTTATAGGTGTCAGAACTGCTGGCCAAGGAAGTGAAATAACTTGTTCTTTATGGCAGAGCTGGGAGAGAACCCAGGTCTCCTGAATTCCAGTCTTCTGACTATGTAGCACTTAACAGAGCCAGATACATATTTGGGGTACAGTACATGTGTAGGACTGAATTTATACTTGACAATACCTTCCATATTCTGCAGTAAAATTTTCCTAACACACAGAGCAAGAAATAAAGACATGTCTCAGCCGCTCTTCCTGTGCCTTTCTGCTTCCTATCTCAGAGACTGTTCCCTGCTCTTTTGCTCTGTAAAAGCATCCCAATTTCTTTCTTTGCTTTTCTTTTTTTGAAATTGAAATCTAATTATGCAAGTAATACATTCATACCATCTCTTTATAGAACATTAAACCAGTAAAATCCATCAATCCCACCAGTAGTTATGTGCAGTTAGAGTTATTGCACATGTCGTAGGAGATATATGCAAGAATGTTCAAGTGCTACTGTTTATAACAGCAAGGAAAAAGAAAGAAAAAAGGAATCTGTAGGCCCATAAGTAGTAGAATGAATGATAAACTGTAGTATAGTTACCCAGTGGAATACTTTGGAGGGATGAAAATGAATGGCCTACATTCAGCCACATTTGCTCTTATGGGTAAGTCTTTAAAACAGTATTGCACAACAGTGTGAATGTACTTAATGCCATTGAATTGTATGCTTAAAAACAGTTACAGTGGTAAATTTTGTGCTATATATATATATATATATATATTACCACAATATAACAAAGCCATTGTATGGCATGATATTGAGTGAAAGAAACAAGCCACAGAAAAATACGAGAGTAAGATTCCGTATATATAACGTACAAAAGCAGGCAAAAGCAAAGAATTTGTTGTTCAGTTGTACACACAAAAATGGTAAAACTAGAATGGGCACAGCTCAGAGCTGGTCCCCTGTTGGGGAAGGAAGAGTGTGATATGGAAGCTTCTAAGGGCCTACTGATGTTCTGATCTTAGCATGGCTTTTGTATAGTTATCTGTATATACTATTTTGTATATATGAAGTTCCCAATAAAAAATATTTTAAAATATAAATAATATAAATAAAATGTCTGAAAAAGTCAGCCGTAAAACCACTCTGAAGGGACATGCCCTCCGCCTAGGCCAGGGAGTATCCCAACATAAAATGATTCCAAATTAGAAAACACACCTGTAACACTTGGACCTAGAGCACCCTGTTCATCTCAGTCAGTCATTTAAACCAAACATTTGATTAGACCCAGACCTACTAGTCACTACATATAAAGAACTGAAGCAAAAATTTTTAACAGTAATGAAACACTTTAACTTACATGTTCTTACTAAATATATTTACTAAATACTGTTACAATGTGTACATTTTTGCTATACAGTAATGTTTTATTGAGCAAATACCTTCTTTCATGTTTATATATGAGTAAAAATAATATCTTTAAATATTGTTTTCTCCAACTTTATCTCATCCTTTTTTATTTAGACAATTAGAAGTGAAAATGAAAAACAATTGAAATAAGCCTC